TGCGCCAAACTTTGGGTGGTGGGTTGAGGACTTCACTCCAAAAATAAGTAGGAACAAAACCCTGATTTTTGCAGGGTAAATTTAGGCACCTTAAAGGAGTGCAGTGGGAGCCTGCAGCCCCAGCAAATCTGAAGTCACCTGTTTTATCTTTGGATACCTCCCAAAAATGCAATTAAAAGGCTGGAAAAAATCAACCTCGTTCTGATTATGACAAGGTCACTCTGGAGCACAGAAGTAGAACTAGCAGGCAGATACTTTTTGTACCTCTTTCCTAAGAGATCTTTTAAAATTAAAATAACAATACCGCTTAAACTTATGTACCACTTCACAGTATTTTACAACCCCTCTCTAAGCAGTTTACAGAGTCAGCCTATTGCCCCCAACTACCATGTTTCCCCGAAAATAAGACCGGGTCTTATATTAATTTTTGCTCCAAAAGGCGCATTAGGGCTTATTTTCTGGTTAGGTCTTATTTTTGACGAAATATGTTACTCTAAATGCACCCATCTGGCTGACAATCTTAACTGGGGCTTATTTTGGGGGTAGGGCTTATATTACGAAGAGACGCAGTGGCTAAGACGCTGAGCTTGTTGATCAGAAGGTCGGCAGTTCAGCAGTTCGAATCCCTAGTGCCGCGTAACGGGGTGAGCTCCCGTGACTTGTCCCAGCTCCTGCCAACCTAGCAGTTCGAAAGCATGTAAAAAATGCAAGTAGAAAAATAGGGACCACCTTTGATGGGAAGGGAACAGCATTCCGTGTGCCTTTGGTGTTCAGTCATGCCGGCCACATGTCCACAGAGACGTCTTCGGACAGCGCTGGCTCTCGGGCACTTCTCTTTGCTAACAGGTGGCCATGCTAAGTGCCTGAAGGACCCCATCCCATCACTAATTCATATTAATGGTCTGCAGGATTTAAAATTATGAATTTAGGGGTCCCTGAGATCTGAAAGGTTGGTGACCCCTGGTTTAAACCGGTACCAGGCCCTTGGAATGCCAGAAACTGGGCTGCGCAAACAAGCAAAGCCCCATCTGTGCGATGCAGGCAGTAGGCAAAACTTCCATAGTCCGTGGAAAATCCGCTCTCCTCGGAACTGGTCCCTGGTGCCCAAAAGGATGGGGGGGGGTGCTGGTTTAGAGAGTCTCCTCTCTGTTTCAGATTCAAAACACCTGATTTTATTCCTGGTTAGAAACAAGCTTCTCCGCTAGGAATGTTCTCCTTCGCAGACCAAGCTTCTTAGCTTAAATAGCTAAAGCAAGCAAACATTTCTTAATCACCTCAAGAATAAAATCCTATTAGCGCCGGAGAGATGTTCTGAAGGATGGGATCAAAATCCCCTAAAACCCAAGTCCTCCTAATTAAGCGAAGTATACGATGGGACGCGTTGGCTCAGTGGCTAAGATGCTGAGCTTGTCGATCGAAAGGTCGGCAGTTCAGCGGTTCGAATCCCTAGTGCCGCGTAACGGGGTGAGCTCCCGTTACTTGTCCCAGCTTTTGCCAACCTAGTAGTTCGAAAGCAGGTAAAAAATGCAAGTAGAAAAATAGGGACCACCTTTGGTGGGAAGGTAACAGCATTCCGTGCACCTTTGGCGTTGAGTCATGCCGGCCAGATGACCACGGAGACGTCTTCGGACAGCGCTCACTCTTCGGCTTTGAAACGGAGATGAGCACTGCCCCCTAGAGTCGGGAACGACTAGCACATATGTGCGAGGGGAACCTTTACCTTTATATGATGTCAACTACTTTGCAAAAAGACTACTGTCACACCTATATAAACGTATGCACCAGAAGCATTTAAATTAAATGTGTTTATTGCAGTAAAACACAGAGCGAATACGGGCTTTTTTTTTTTTTTTTTGCTCAGTTGTTTTATATTTCTGTACCCCTGAAATTCAAATGCTCTTTTGGAGCGCCCAATTTTTCTAGCCCAGTCAATTCAATTTGTCTCCGTGGCTTATTGGAAGAATAAAATGAGATCCAAACACTTTCTTGTCATTGCCTTCGAGGCTAAGAGCTTTGGGCATTTTAGCACAGCAGTTTTCTTCCCAAATTCATGCTATTAGTGTGTATTTAGCATGGTATATAAACATTTAAAAATAAGTAAACCTTTTCTCAGCTTTCAGAAATATCTTACTAAAGAGTAGGGCGCGATTGGCGAACCTTTTTGGCACCGAGTACCGAAATGGGAGCGGGCGCACGTGAGGGAGCACCGGAAACCGGAAAAGCAGCTCCCTGGGGCTCTTGCGCACATGCGCACCAGGGAGCTGCTCTTCTGGTTTCCAGCACTCCCACACACGCAAAGACCAGCTCATGTTGCGTGTGCCAAAACCCAAAAGAGAAACGGGTGACGGCTAGTGTGCCCGGAGAGATAGCTCTGTTGGTCTTCGTGTGCGCATGTGCACCAGAAACCGTAAGATCAGGTGACCAGTGCACATGTGCGTGCCAGAAACCGGACGCTCAGCTTCCCAGCACACGCATGCGTGGTGGGGAGCTGCTCTTCCGGTTTCCGGAACTCCCGCACATTCAAAGACCAGCTGGCCAGCACGCTTGCACATGCCAAAACCCAGAAGAGCAATGGGCGACGGCTAGTGTGCCCGGAGAGATAGTTCTGTTGATCTTCGTGCGCGCATGTGCACCAGAAACCGGAAGCTCAGCTTCCCAGCTCACGCATGCACGGTGGAGAGCTGCTCTTCCAGTTTCCGGAACTCCCGCACACTCAAAGACCAGCTGGCCGGCACGCATCTGCATGCCAAAACCTAGAAGAGCAACGGGCGATGGCTAGTGTGCCCGGAGAGATAGTTCTGTTGATCTTTGTGCGCGCATGTTCACCAGAAACCGGAAGCTCAGCTTCTCAGCTCACGCATGCGCGCTAGGGAGCTGCTTTTCTGGTGCTTCTGTCCATGTAAAGACCAGCTGGCCGGCACGCATGCATGCACTGGAATTCGGAAGAGCAATGGGCAACGGCTGGCATGCCCAGAGAAATGGCTCTGCGTTCCACTTCCAGCACACATGCCATAGGTTCGCCATCATGGGACTAGGGGCCAGACAAATAATATTCCCTGGCTGTTGTGGCTCCGTTACCTGAGCCTGTGTTATCAGCAGGAGAGGACTCCGAGAGTGAAGGAGAGGAGTTGGCAAGGCCTCCCTCTCCAGGACCCTCCTCTCTGGCAATGCCTTCGGTGTCCGCCGAAGGACAAGAGATAGGGCCGGGGCCAAGCACGTCCACGCAGCCACAGGTGGACAGTGATGAGGGTAATGAGTCTTGGCTGGATCCTCGGCAGCGTCGCAGACATAAGGGCGCGCAACAGAAGAAAAGGCATGCCAGAGATTAGGCTGAGTCACTGGACCACACCCCACAGGGTATAAAAGGGGGTGAGGTGGCCATTCAGACTCTGTGACGGACAAAACTAACTACTATCGAGTCACATTGCATCTTTGGAAACAACGTTATCGGCCTTGGATTTATTTTACGAACTGGACAATTCTTGATTGTGGGTATTTTGTTTATTGAGTAAAAGTTCTTGGCAAGCAGCTACTGGGTTGCTGCCAAGTGTCTTATCGGAAGAATTGGTTGTCTGCCAGTTTATTTAATCCCTGGCTGTCTGTTTGTGTGCGTGTGTGAGACGGGGACAGAACACTGGTCCAGTCTCTCTTCTCAGAATGTGAGGAAACCTACCGTGGCACCTAGGATGGCTGGAGCTTCCTTGAACCACCATTTGTCTGAAATGTTATAGGATTTCTTTTCTTCAGCAGGGGGTTGGACTAGAAGACCTTCAAGGTCCCGTCCAACTCTGTTATAGTGCTTGTGCCAGACAGCAGTTAGCTCAGATATTCAGAGAAAGGCAGGCAGAACTGAAGATGTACTGCAGTGGGTTTCCTTCGATTAGAACTTGGGAAGAAATCCAAATATAGTTTACTACTATTTGATATATTTATTCAAGAACCAAAATGGGCTGTCTGTACTTTTTATAGAGAAGAAAATTGTCCTTTTGCATGAGAAACAGGAATGAAATCCTACCGGTTCGAACCGGTTTGGGATCCGCTAGAGATTATGGGCATCAGTTTGCTGAACCGGTAGTAACTACCCCCCTTGGTCCCACCCATGCCCGGCCGGTCGCCGCTCACCTCTTCTGGACGCTCGATATTCCACAGAATTCAATGTTAAATGCAGCAGAGAGAATGCTAACTTTTCTCCCTCCATTCAGAACGGAGCTGCTGCAGCCTCTCCCTTTAAGGTAGGCCCCAGGAGGGAGGGGGATGGGGGGGGACAGTTGGAATGGAGCCATTTTTGTGAAAGGCAGGAAAATGGGGAAGGGGATTTTCCTGCCTATCATCCATTCCTCAATCTCAGCACAGACAGAGGGAAGGATGGTAGGCAGGAATATTCCCCTCCCCATTTTCCTGCCATTCGCAACAAGGAGTGGCTGGGAGGGGAGGGGCCGGCGAAGAGCCCCTCGATATGAGTGATGTTGAGTTGGTCACGCCCACCCAGTCACATGACCTTCCCCCAACAAGCCACGCCCACAGAACCGGTAGGGGAATTTTTTTAATTTCACCCCTGATGAGAAACCAATATTCCCATTTAATGGTTAATGGTGTCTATATATTCATATTTGGCACAATAAACTCAGGACCCCTGGGGGGGGGGGAGGCAGGGAAAACTTTCTTGTCTGTTTGTCTGTTTATAACCTTCAATTGGGCATAACGGTGCATCGTAAGACAACAATTTTCGAATCAGAGTACTTTGGATGGGCGAACTTAAAGAATGCGTCCAAAATCCAGGACCCATTGTGCAACTTGAACCCGCCACTTGCGTATGTTGAGCTGTGTGTGTGTGTGTGTGTGTGTGTGTGTGTGGTGAGCTGCTGCCCCCCACTCATGCAACCCCGGTTCCCCTTTCTCTCCCCCCACCACTTGTTGGTCCGCCAAGCTGCCCAACATTCTTCTTACCCAACCAACATAGAACCGAGCCTTAAATTTCCCTTACAATTTACTCATTTTAGGCTCACCAATCTACGAGGTGTCCGACGGATGGCGTGGGCTCCGGCCAAGCTGCATGGCTGAACGTAACCCCCTCAAGCAAGGGTTCCACCCAACATCCCTTAGGAACCCAGGTGGAACTAAGAAGCCGGCCGAGCGGTGGTAACAATCTGCTAGAACTTGAGAATGCTTGTCCGGGTTCCAGTGCTTACATAGAAACATCGGAGGTGGAGCAGGACAGCAGAGGTTCTCTGCATTGTGAGTTATATCCACCTGCCTGCTTTAACGTTGCCGGTGAAAACAGCCCGTTCTCTGCCCAAGCTCCATACCTTCTTCAGCACCATGCCAAGAAACGGTCCGTGAATTTAACCTTTGCTGGGAAGCCTCTTCAGCGGAGTTCCTACCACAGCTCGCCAGGGTTTCCTTCGCCATGCGCGGGTGAAAAGTGCCAAGCCGGCTTTGAAAACGTCTCTGGACTCCATCACCCATACTTCTACAGGTGTACCGTTTCAGAGCCTCAGCCTTTCCCCTGCCATGGCCAATGCTGGAATCCCATAGGGGAGGAGCGCGCGTCGTATGCACACAACGGTAGCCAGAAAAAGCCGGTAAACGGAGCCGTTGCATCTTGCAAAGCTTGGCAGATTTATACAGAAGAGATCCCTAACAACTATGCTTTTGATTACTCAGGGTAAAGATAATGTTTTATGAATACCGTTTTCAGAAGTACTCAAATGAGATGGTCTGTTGACACCTCCTTGTTTTATTGATCCACCCGTTAAGCCAAAGTCAGTGTCAGGGGTTCCAAGTAATACACCCATACTAAGCAAAACTCGGAGGCAGGTGAATTCCTCAAAGAATAGCTTTATTGGATATATCATATTGGCACAGATCTGGTGAAAACCGACTCTGAAGGTTCCCACTGTTTTCAGCTACCGTATTTTTTGGAGTATAAGACGCTCTGGAATATAAGGCGCACCTTATTTTGAGGTGGGGGGTGGGGGGGAGAAACATTAAAAAAATAAAAATTCTGCTTGAGAAGCTGTCCGTTAGAGAGACTGCATTTGCAGCCTCCAAAAGCTCCGTTTGCAAAAGAGCTTTTCTTTGCAAAGGCAGCCTCTCGAACGGAACTTTTGGAGGCTGTTTGAGAGGCTCTCTGTTTGGGAGGCTACATTTGCAGCCTCCAAAAGGGTGGAGGACGGCGGGTGGGTGGGGCTACATTTGGTGTATAAAACACACCCAAATTTCCACCCTCTTTTGGGGTGGGGAGTGTGTCTTATACTCCGAAAAATACAGTAATTAAAAGTAAAAGTTCTTCCCTCAATCCCAAACAATCAGTCACATGATCTGTCTGGTTGCCTGGTAACATCACTCCGCCTTCCTCTGACCAGGTGTGAGAATGTCCTTGGTTCCCAAGAGAAAGTATTTTGTTTTGGCTACAAAACCCTAGCTATCTCTAATCCCCCCTCCCTATCCCTCAGCTCCAGTGTGGCAGCACTGAAGCTCCAAGATGGCTTCAACCAGGCCAGCTTCAGGGTTGATAGTCAGTTTAGCCATGATTTTCTGGGCAAGGTCAGTATAGCCAAAGCTTTCTGGAAAAATGTAGAGCCTGAGATGAAGAATGGATGGGAAGTGGCCATGCAGGTGTTTGGGAAGCGGTTGTGAGTGTCAAAGCAGGAAGAGGAAGCAGCTGGAAACATCTCAGGTAGCTTCAAGAGGTTGACGATGGGAGTGGGGCTCCATGAGTAATGATCCCAGGAAGGGGTACATTGGGACAGGGGTCTCCAACCTGAGCAATTTTAAGACTTCTGGACTTCTATCTCCCAGAATTCCCTAGCCAACATGGCTGGCTGGAGACTTCTGGGAGTTAAAAGTCCACAAGTCTTAAAGTTGCCAAGGTTGGAGACTCCTACATTGGAATGCAAGGCAAAGAAGTTAAGAAGATGAAGGATATTGAAAGAAAATGTGGGCAGGATCCAAAGACAGGCTGGAAACTAGAGAAGGGGTTGGAGGAGAAGACTTGTCCGGTGAGAACATCATCTCAGGTAGCTTCAGGAGGTTGACGATGGGAGTGGTGCTCCATGAGTAATGATCCCAGGAAGGGATACATTGGGACAGGGGTCTCCAACCTGAGCAATTTTAAGACTTCTGGACTTCCATCTCCCAGAATTCCCTAGCCAACATGGCTGGCTGGAGACTTCTGGGAGTTAAAAGTCCTCAAGTCTTAAAGTTGCCAAGGTTGGAGACTCCTACATGGAATGCAAGGCAAAGAAGTTAAGAAGATGAAGGATATTGAAAGAAACGTGGGCAGGATCCAAAGACAGACTGGAAACTAGAGAAGGGGTTGGAGGAGAAGACTTGTCCGGTGAGAACATCATCTCAGGTAGCTTCAGGAGGTTGACGATGGGAGTGGGGCTCCATGAGTAATGATCCCAGGAAGGGATACATTGGGACAGGGGTCTCCAACCTGAGCAATTTTAAGACTTCTGGACTTCCATCTCCCAGAATTCCCTAGAATTCTGGAAACTAGAGAAGGGGTTGCAGGAGAAGACTTATCCGGTGAGAATATCACCACCCTCAGATTATTTGGGTTCTAAAAGGGGTGCCTATTGACAAGGGGGGGACCGCATTATAAGCTGCTCACAAAATTCGGTGCCTTTTCATTGCTTCTTGTGTCTTTTTCTCCTGGCACCCCTCTTTACTTGCCCTTGTTCCTTGAGGTCCTCACAGCCACTTGCTCCTCACCCGGTGAAGAGAAGCCTCTCTCCAACAGCGCGGCTCATCCAGGCGGTAGAACAGCACCACCGAGAAATCTCTCAGCTGGCAAATGACCACCTTGCCAGGAATCATTTGGCTAGCATGTTTCCCCCCATAATCCAGAGAGGGGAGAGCGACTCGCAGCTCCACCTGGAGAGCGGTGAAGAGGCCCAGCCCGTTCTCAGCCGCAGCAATTCCGAGGGCTACTTGCTTCAGATGGAAAAGCAAAAAGAAAGGAAAGGAAAGAAAGAGAACCGGAAGGTGAGCAAAGGAGAGTAACCCACATGGTGCAGGGAAGGGGCAGGCGGGTGGGTGTCGATCTTCGTCTTGTAGTGTTGCATAACCAAAATGACTTTGCAGACTATTTATTTATTATTTATTTATTAATCAAATTTCTATACCGCCCTACTCCCGAAGGACTCAGGGCGGTGAACAGCCGAGATAAAATACAGATAATACAAATATTTTAAAAAATCCCTTAAAATTATTAAATATTTTGGCCGAAACACAGATTAAAACACCCAATTTATAAAATCACACGAATTAAAAATTTAAAAGAGGAGAGTTAGGCCAGGCCAGCCTGCTGAAATAAAAAAGTTTTGAGAGCACGACGAAACGTGCGCAGGTCCGGGATCCTCCGTATCTCTGGGAGGGAGCTCGTTCCAGATGGTAGGTGCCCCCACAGAGAAGGCTCTCCCCCTGGGGGCCGCCAGTCGACACTGTTTGGCCGACGGCACCCTGAGAAGTCCCTCTCTATGGGAGTGTACTGGTCGGTGAGAGGCTATTGGTAGCAGAAGGCGGTCTCGTAGATACCCCGGTCCGATGCCATGGAGCGCTCTAAAGGTGGTGACCAACACCTTGAAGCGCACCCAGAAGACCACTGGAAGCCAATGCAGCTCACGCAGGAGAGGTGTCACATGGGAGCGCCCCCTCGCTCCCATAATCCCCCACGCGAGTTAGTTTGGGCAAGTCATTCCCACTCAGCCGAACCCACCTCACAAGGTGGTTATTGTGGGAAAAATAGGAGGAAGGGATTATGTAAAATATGTTTAGATTTCCTTGAGTTATTCATAAAAATAATAAAGGTGGGAGGACAGACAGACAGGGATGGATAGATGGATGGATATGGGATGGATGGAAGATGATGATAGATAGATAGATAGATAGATAGATAGATAGATAGATAGATAGATAGAGATGGATGGACGGACGAACAAACAGACAGACAGACAGACATGGATGATGGATGGATAGATAGATACTGTGTTTCCCCAAAAATAAGACAGGGTCTTATTTTCTTTTGACCCCCAAAATATGGCCTTGGCCTTATTATCAGGGGGTCTGGCAGAGAGAGGCTCCCTCCGTGCACCATCAAACCCCGTCCCTCCTATGGGGGGGGGACTCAAGTGGCCCGAAGGTGCCAAGCCGCGCAAGTGCCTGTTCCCTCCCCTGCTTGCACGCCTCCTAGGCCTCACCATGTTGATGTGGGCAAAGCCAGTGAACACCCAGCTGGAAGCCGCTGGAAACGGAGAAGACGCCAGTCGGGCCAGCTGCCTGCTGCCAAGTCTTCCGGCAGCCAGGGCAGAGAGTCTTACGGCAGCCGGGGCAGAGAGGCAGTGAAGGGAGCTGCAGCTCCACATGGGGAGACTGCGCCGCCGCTGCCGCCATCCGGGTACTGAGGATGGCCTCCTCTGCAGCTTCCAAAACCCGGCTGGAAGCTGAGAAGAGGCCGGTCGGGACAGCTGCCTGCTGTCGAGTCTTCCGGGAGCCGGAGCAGCCGCATGGAGTTGGAACGATAGAGCGGGAAATGGCACCAGAGGGTTAATGTCATTGCCCAGAGGATCATTGCTTGCCCTCTCCCCTCTTTGGAAGAGCTTTATAGCTCCCGCTGCCTTAAGAAAGTTCAAAACATTCTTAAAGATCCATCTCATCCTGGGCACCCCTTTTTTTTTTTTGAACTATTACCATCTGGCAGCCGGTACAGGACAATAAAAACAAGGACGAATAGGCTGAAAACCAGCTTCTATCCCAGGGCAGTAACCATATTGAATTCTACGATATAGTGCAATATCGGGTTTTCAGTTTCAATTATACAGAATGTAAAAGAATGTATTTGTTTGCGTTTTTATCGTTATAATGTACCCTGAAGACGGCATTTAATTTCGTTGTACCACGTGCAATGACAATAAAGTAAACGAAACTAAAATTTCATATTACCCCTTTGTTCAGGGCTCCAGGGCAAAAGGTTACACAAAGATGGATGTGAGGCTCGGAGGCCTTGGACCTGACTATGAAACCATCAAAGAAAAAGTAAGAGGAATGGCATTTATGAATATCTTCTTCTTCCTGCATGCTCTTTGTCCTGCAGAACGTTACAAATGGAGGGTTTTGGCTGAGTTACCAAATTAAAATCAGGAAGAAGGGAATGGACAACGAATCTCTAGATCAGAGGTCTTCAAACTTGGCAGCTTTCAGACTTGTGGACTTCAACTCCCAGAATTCTGGGCTGGAGAACTCTGGGAGTTGAAGTCCATAAGTCTTAAAGCTGCCATGTTTGAAGACCTCTGCTCTAGATTCTGATAGCACTGATGATGCTACCTAGTTTGGCAATGAAATGTCTACTAGATAGAAAACCATCAGGCTTATAACCCTATTGAAAACCAATAACTCTATTGAAATAAGTAGAAAGTTTAAATTGGGAAAATAGTAGCGTGTATGTATGTATGTATGTATGTATGTGTGTGTGTATATATATATATATATATATATATATATATGTATATGTATATGTATATGTATATGTATATGTATATATATATATATATATATATATATATATGTGTGTGTGTGTGTGTGTGTGTGTGTGTGTGTGTGTGTGTGCTTTGGTATTCGGGTATCTCCCGCGTAAAATTGGAAGTGTCTTGGAGACGTTTCGCCGAAGTCTCATTCATCATCTTCAGGCTGGTATTTTTGGCTTCATGCTTCTAGAGCAATGTACATTGAGCTGCGATCTCACATTGCTGTGATCTCACATTGAGCTGCGATCTCACATTGCTCCTAGAAGCACGAAGCCGAAAACACCAGCCTGAAGATGATGAATGAGACTTCGTCAAAACGTCGCCAAGACACTTCCAACTTTACGTGGGAGAAGACCCGAATAACCAAAGACCTACATACAAACACCCGCGAAAACCTGAGAAAACATTGTGTGTGTGTGTGTGTGTGTGTGTGTGTGTGTGTGTGTGTGTATACATATATATGTGTGTGTGTGTGTGTGTATATATATATGAATTTATTATAAACATAAATATAAAGATTAGGGGGTAGAAGATTAGGACTAGGTATATCTAAATTTATGATTAAGAGGATGTAAAAAATATATTGGAAAATATAGTTTTCAAGGACTATAAATTCAGGGGACTTAGAGATATAATCTTGGGGCTGATTAAATCTTATTGACAACTGGTTTTATTGGTGTTTACAGAAAATTGAAATATTGAAAATGTGGAACACTGAGCGATATTTATAATATTAAAATATTAGTGATTTAACGGCTTAAGTGATTAAGTATATTGTACAAAGAAATGTTATTGATGTTTACATATACTTTTGGAGAAAGTGATTAAAAAAATCATAAAGAAAAAAAGTATTGTTTAAAGATAATGAGGTAACCCAACAAATGGGAAAAATAAGTACAAATCGGGAAAATAGCATAATATAGATTGATACATAAAAGAATATATTATAATTATAATGAGCACATTAAGGTTAGAAGTTGGAAGATAAAAATCCTGTAGATGTAATTGTATTATTACTGTGAGCACTGTGTGAAAAATATGTTAACCCAGTCACTGTCTACAAAAACTGTTGGTTGTTAAAGAAAAACTGCAAATAAAACATATACAAAAGAAAAAAAAATAATGGCAGAAAATGAAGAGGAACTTAAGAGCCTCGTGATGCAGATGAAGAAGGAGAGTGCAAAAGTTGGCTTAAAACTCAACCTTAAGAAAACTAAAATCATGCCATCCGGCTCATGGCAAATAGATGGGGAAGAAATGGAGGGAGTGACAGATTTTATTTTCCTGGGCTCCAAGATCACCGCAGATGGGGACTGCAGCCAAGAAATTAAAAGACGCTTGCTCCTGGGGAGGAAAGCTATGGCAAATCTAGACAGTGTACTAAAAAGCAGAGACATCACCCTGCCAACAAAAGTGCGCATAGTCAAGGCTATGGTTTTCTTACTTGCAATGTATGGCTGTGAAAGTTGGACCATAAGGAAGGCTGAGCGCCAAAGAATGGAGGCCTTGAACTCTGGTGCTGGAGAAGACTCCTGAGAGTCCCTTGGGCTGCAAGACGATCCAACAAGTCAGTCCTAGAGGAGATCAGCCCTGACTGCTCTTTAGAAGGCCAGATCCTGAAGAGGAAACTCAAATGCTTTGGCCACCTAACGAGAAGGAAGGGCTCACTGAAGAAGAACCTTATGCTGGGAAAGATTGAGGACAAAAGAAGAAGGGGACAGCAGAGAACGAGGTGGCTGGATGGAGTCACTGAAGCAGTCGGCGTGAGCTTAAATGGACTCCAGAGGATGGTAGAGGATAGGAAGGCCTGGAGGAACGTTGTCCATGGGGTCGTGATAGGTCGGACACGACTCCGCAACTAACAACAACAAGGTAACCTGGTATTCTTGAGATATTTTAGACTTCCAATCACGTTAATCCCATGAAGCACAGCCAAAGACAAAGGATTGTCGGAGATGTCATTCAAAGCATCTGGAAGTTGCACGTGCCTGGATGAAGGATTGGGTGGATGGATCCATTCCTGGGTCCATTCACAACAGAGAGTTCTACTTTTGCTGATCAGTTGGGTTACCTTGATCAACAACGTAGCTGACCAAGGAGACAATCAGCAGAAGAGACGTACCATTTCAGAACTTGCTCTTGAGGATATTTCCAGTATGGTGGTAACAATCCTGGGAAGGTTAAGAGTTTATTTAAACTCCTGCAGAAGTCTGTCCTAACAGATCTTAACAGAGTTGGAAGGGACCTTGTAGTTCATCTAGTCCAACCCTCCTCCCCACCCAAGCAGGAGACCCTACACCATTTCTGACAGATGGCAATCCAGTCTCTTCTTGAAAGCCTCCAGTGATGAAGCTCCCACAACTTCCTAAGGCAACTTCTGTTCCATCGGTTGATTGCTCTCACGGTCAGAAAAATGTCTCCTTATTTCCTGGTTGAATCTCTCCTTGTTCAGTTTCCATCCATGTCCTTGGTGGGTCTTTGTTAAAACTTGAATGCTGAACCAGATGTGGCATTCACGTAACTCAACAAAAATCTTTGAATGTAATCCTCTATTTTTGAAGATATGAGAGTTGCCCACTGCTACAAAAGAAGTCTTGTATGTGGGTGTGCTAATTTTATTTAATTGATAAATTAATTCATTTTAGGTATGCATTTCCTTAGAAAAACGTAAGTGGGGAGAAGCTGATCGTGATTGGTATTCTAACCACTAGGTAAGAGGTCTTCAAACTTGGCAGCTTTAAGACTTGTGGACTTCAACTCCAGCTATGCTGGCTGGAGAATTCTGGAACTTGAAGTCCACAAGTCTTAAAGCTGCCAAGTTTGAAGACCTCTGCACTAGGCCCACCTAAATTCACAAATTGAGGGAGAAAAGATAAAAAGTCACGTGAAGATCTTAACAGGACTTGACCACCTTCCTTTCCTTGCTAACTCAGATTCGGTTTCAGATTAAGAGTTGGAAGGGACCTTGTAGGTCATCTAGTCCAACCCACTGCCGAAGCAGAAGACCCTACACCATTTCTGACAGATGGCAGTCTGGTCTCTTCTTGAAAGCTTCCAGTGATGAAGCTCCCACAACTTCCGAAGGCAACTTCTGTTCCATGGGTTGATTGTTCTCACTGTCAGAAAATTTCTCTTTATCTCCAGGTTGAATCTCTCCTTGTTCAGTTTCCATCCATTATTCCTTGTCTGGCCTTCAGGTGCTTTGGAAAATAGCTTGACCCCCCTCCTCTCTGTGGCAGCCCCTCAAATATTGCAACACTGCTATCCTGTCTCCCCTGGTCCTTCTCTTCATTAGACTAGCCATGCCCAGTTCCTGCAACCGTTCATCGTATGTTTTAGCCTCCGGTCCGGAAGTCCTCCAACTTCCAAAGGCTAAGCTCCCTTGGGTTCTGTCCTTCACGACCAAAATAAATAAATCAATGTCCAGAAAACGTCTGGCTATGTTCAGAGTAGATCAGGCTTCCAAGGTGTAGCTTTTTTTTTTTTTAAGCCTTGGTAGAACATATCCATTAGTCTGTATTCTCCTGCAGAGAATTCCAATTGGAGATCAGGATGCACAAATCCATTCTCTTCTAGTGTAACCGAGGGTGCTTGCTTTAATGCAGTTGAGCTGTTCTGGGGAATTTAGATGGTCCTGGCTTTATCACAAAAGGATAAAAAATAATAATAATAATAATAATGGAAGTCAACCCAACCGAGAAAAATCTAATTGTGAAGAGCTGAATGCGCATTATGCCTTGTTAGGAAACATTGGCCATTAATCTGATGCCTGATGTTTCTCCTTTGGCCCAAAAGAGAAGATGAAGCTGATTAACCGAGAAAGAATTGAGAAAAAAAGCCTCTTTCCCAAACCTTCATATTTTTATTTTTATTTTATTTTTTTACTTTCAATGAATGGAAACATGCTAGGTATTTTCCATGTTACTGGTACAACAGGGTCAGTACTCTACATTTGCTCAACTTACACTCAATTGTTTTTAGCAAGTTATAGTGATGATTTTGTAGCACCCAATGTATGATCTTCAACATACCAATAAGGTAAAAGGAAAGGTTCCCCTGGCACATATGTGCTAGTCATTCCTGACTCTAGGGGGCGATGCTCATCTCTGTTTCAAAGCCGAAGAGCCAGCGCTGTCCGAAGACGTCTCCGTGGTCATGTGGCCGGCATGATTAAACGCCAAAGGCGCACGGAACGCTGTTCCCTTCCCACCAAAGGTGGTCCCTATTTTTCTGCTTGCAATTTTTTACGTGCTTTCGAACTGCTAGGTTGGCAGAAGCTGGGACAAGTCACGGGAGCTCACCCTATTATGCGGCACTAGGGATTCGAACCGCTGAGCTGCCGACCTTTCGATCGACAAGCTCAGCGTCTTAGCCACTGAGCCACCGCGTCCCTTACCAATAGAAGAGAATATTTACCATACCAGTAGGAGAGAATATTTGTAGCTCAAGGTTGAACTGTGGGGTCCTTAGTGCTCTCTGGCCTTGGTTGTTTTCTTGCAGACATTTCGTGACCCAACTAGATAGTATCATCAGTGCTATAAGGAAGTGGGGTTTCCTCTGGGTGGTTGGTTGTTTATTGCTGCTGTTTATTGCTTGATTGTTTGTCTGAGGTGGTTGTTCCCCAGTTGGGGTATTGTTTACAGCTTGATCGTTGGTCTTGTGTTAACCTTTGTGTTAATTTCTGCTCATCTGGGTGTTGATTGAGTGGTGCGGTGGCCTAGAGGTGGAACTCTCGTCTCACAATCAGGAGGCTGTGAGTTCGATCCTAGGTAGAGGCAGCTATTTCTCTGGGCATGATGAGAATATATCTGCTGAATATAACTCCACATTGGCAACAGGAAAGGCATCCAGCCAGTAAAGACTCGGCTCAATTCAGTTGCCCAGACTCCACCCCGCAAGGCATTATGGGGTCATTAAAAGATAATGATGATAATCATCTGAGCGTTGACTGCTGTTTGAGGAGGTGTTTTGATCTTTTTAGACAATACCCCAATCAAAGACCTACCAACTCAGTCAAGCAAGCTAACAATAAGCAACAGCTTAATTAAGGAATCGTCATATTCACACGCTACCTTTCCTGTGAGAAGTTCAGGAGAGATTAGCTCATAAATTCATGCCCGGCTAAAACGCCTTGTCCCGTTAGCGAGAGTTTTGAGTCCGCTCCTCCCTCTTCCACACTTCCTTTTCAAGACCGTACTTGAGCTTTTCAACTGGTTTGAGATAGGCGGCCATGCAAATTGAACAATTTAAATAAATAAATACAATGCATTAAAACGCTCGTCTCCAGCCTGCCCTTGAACTCCTCCTCTTTGTCCTTTGACAGTCAGAAAAGATAAAACACCAAAAAGTATACGCCAAGCAAGTAAATGAACAAAACCTGAAGAATATGTCAAGTACACGGAAACCTCAGTCGAAAACGGAGAACAAATCAGTCGTGTCAAGGCAGAAGGTAGGAACTAGCGAAACAAGATTTTTTTTGTCCGTAAGAGACTGTCTGGAACATCCTTTCTCAACCTTGGCACCTCAAAAATGTGTGGACATCCAAGTCCCAGAATCTCCCCAACAGCATCCTGGGAATTGAAGTCCACCCCTCTTCAAGTTGCCAAGGTTGAGAAACACTGGTCTTCAAGGATCAAGACTGAACATACTCTTAGATGATCAGAATGCCCCTGGCTCTCTGTCTTGAATATGAACCGTGTGGATTTTTGATTGCTTTCATCATCAGTGTTGGTGATCCAAGCACAGTTCCTCCCTTATGAGAATAGAGTGGAGTGGAGTGGAATGGAATGCAATGGAATGGAATAGGGAATGGGAATGGGAATAGAGTGGAATGGAATGGAATTGGAGTGGAGTGGAGTGGAGTAGAATGGAATGGAATGGAATGGAATGGAATGGAATAGGGAATGGGAATGGGAATGGGAATAGAGTGGAGTGGAATGGAATGGAATGGCATTGGAGTGGAGTGGAAGGGAATGGAATGGAATGGAATGGAATAGAATAGAATAGAATAGAATAGAATAGAATAGAATAGAATAGAATATTGGAATGAAGAGTAGAGTAGAGTAGAATAGGAATTGGAATTGGAATAGAATAGGAATAACAGAGTTGGAAGGGACCTTGGAGGTCTTCTAGTCCAACCTCCTGCTTAGGCAGGAAACCCTACACCGCTTCAGACAAATGGTTATCCAATCTCTTCTTAAAAACTTCCAGTGTTGGAGTATTCACAACTTCTGGAGGCAAGTTGTTCCACTGGTTAATTGTTCTGGCTGTCAGGAAATTCTTCCTTAGTTCTAGGTTGCTTCTCTCCTTGATTAGAACAGAACAGAACAGAACAGAACAGAACAGAACAGAACAGAACAGAATAGAATTCTTTATTGGCCTAGTGTGATTGGACGCACAAGGAATTTGTCTTGGTGCATACGCTCTCGGTGTACATAAAATAAAAGATATATTTGTCAAGAATCATAAGGTACAACACTTAATGATAGTCATAGGGAAACAGTTTAGTTTCCACCCGTTGCTTCTTGTCCTGCCTTCAGGTGCTTTGGAGAATAGCTTGACTCCCTCTTCTTTGGGGCAGCCCCTGAGATATTGGAACACGGCTATCATGTCTCCCCTGGTCCTTCTTTTCATCAGACTAGACATACCCAGTTCCAGCAACTGTTGTTTGATCGTTTAACCTACTCGGTTGAAATCCTAAGGCAGCAAGATTGCAAAAATCTTGCCAGATTTTCATTTATGACGGAAGAGGCATATACATGTATGTATCCTCAAACATGATCGTATAACAAGTCTACCGCCTCGAAAGAGTGCCAATTGGATACTAAGTCACAAAGAACAAGTCCTACCAATTGTATGAGTGGAGGCTGGCATCTCCTACTACAGTGATCTCACCTGTAGGAGAAGGAAGAGAAGTGATAAACTCCCTTGCTAGGAGTATGGAGAATCAAGTAATTTTGTTATTCCTTCTGTGTCTCTACCGTGTTTTCCCTAAAATAAGACCCTGTCTTATATTTCTTTGAACCCTGAAATAAGCGCTTGGCCTTATTGCCATGTGCTCAAAAGCCCAATTGGGCTTATTATCAGGGGAGGTCTTATTTTGGGGGAAACAGGGTATTTATTTGCCGGTTTTATGTCTTCTTAAAATTTTCCCTTCTGGTCCTTTTTTTTTTTTTCTACCATGTCTTCTATTCTAAGACAAAATCTAGAATTTCAGCTTGATGAAAAGAAATCTTTTGAGGATGGTTATGTAGGGGAAGTGTCAATTTCGAACTGAATTTGGTTGCAGGCATCTTTCTGTTCCTCAGTTGCTACACAGAGGGGGAAGTGGGGAAGGAGGTTGGAATGCCTTACTAGACAAAACAAAGGACTTTCTCATGAGAATCAAGGTCATCCCTACTGGCAGCAGATAAGATTGGGGAAGGAGTGCCTGAAGAGCCCGCCAATTAACCCAATTGGTCAACGTGACCTGTGACATTTGGGGAATGGGGTTGTTTGAACCACAGTGGCGCAGTGGTGAGAGTGCGGTGACTGCCAGCTGCCTGAAATTTGGCAGTTCGAATCTCACCAGGCTCGAGGTTGACTCAGCCTTCCATCCTTCCGAGGTAGGTAAAATGAGGACCCAGGTTGTTGGGGGCAAGAGGCTGACTCTGTAAACCCGCTTAGAGAGGGCTGCAAAGCACTGTAAAGCGGTATATAAGTCGAAGTGCTATTGCTATTTTCCTTCCTCCCTCCCTCCTTCCTTCCTTTCCTTCCTTCCCAGTCGTTAGAATACAGTATTGCAGGCTAACTCTGCCAACTGACAGGAGTTCAATCCTGATTGGCTCAAAAGTTTGACTCAGCCTTCCATCCTTCCGAGGTGGGTAAAATGAGGACCCAGATTGTTGGGGACAATAGGCTGACTCTGTAAACCACTTAGGGCTGCAAAGCACTGTAAAGCGGTATATAAGTCTAAGTGCTATTGCTATTGCTAATTTTCTTCCTTCCTTCCTTCCTTCCTTCCTTCCTTCCTTCCTTCCTTCCTTCCTTCCTTCCCTCCGTCCTTCCCTCCGTCCTTCCTTCCTTCTTCCCTCCCTCCCTCCCTCCCTTTCCAGGAGTTAGAATACAGTATTGCACCTAACTCTGCCCACAGGCAGGAGTTTGATCCTGACTAGCTCGAGGTTGACTCAGCCTTCCATCTTTCCGTGGTGGGTCAAATGAGGACCCAGATTGTTGGGGGCAAGAGGCTGACTCTGTAAAACCGCTTAGAGAGAGCTGTAAAAAGCACTGTAAAGCGGTATGTAAGTCTTAAGTGCTATAGCTATCGCGATTTCCTAGTTTAATTATACTGAAACCGCGGGATAGATTTAGAGTGGGTTTTCCTTTAGAGTTGTGCCGATACGATGCACTCATTCAAGAAGCCCTTTGAGAAAGAGACCCAGGCTCAGAGCTCCAATTTGCTTGGGTTTCCTTCGTCGGAGCCTTGAGAGGAAGAATTTGTGGGAGACGCTGACGTGAAGGAACCCACCTGCGTCTTCCTCGGAAATGGTCTCTTCCTAATCTGGGGTTCGAGGTTGTTTCACGACCCGTCGTGGTGGCCTTCTTTCCTTCCTTCTGCAGGCCCTTGAATACGCCAAGACAATTCCCAAGCCTCGGCTTTTCGTCTCGAGATCGTCGGAGGAAGAGACCAAAGAGGAGAAAAACCTGGCGCGGACTTTAAACGGAGAGAACCTCCCTCCCATCTCCTCTCTGGAGTCCCTGCAAAACAGGCACGAGAAGGAGAAGCAGGTGGTCGCCGCCTTCAAAACGCTCCATATTGTCTGATGGGGGGGGGGGGGCGTCCCCCATCGACCTTCGTAGGCCCACCGCGCTCTTCCCGCTCTCCCTCCCCCACCGTTTTCTTCTCGCCGTGTAGTTCACCCCTGGTCCGAATGGACGAGCGTACCACGATGAGTTTCATGAACTTCTGCAAGATCTGGGATGTTTTTCTCCATGAGTTTCATTCAGCCTTACTTATTTTTGTTGGATTTTATTGTTGATAATTAAAACGTTGAGTGTACGATGAACTAGAAGCGATCTTTCTCTTTTCTTTTCTTTTCTTTTCTTTCCTTCCCTCCATTCCAGGGCTCCATCCTTTTCCCAAAAAAAACCTTTTGATGGTTTAAGGGTCAGCCTAAATGAAGAACTTAGATCTAGGCCAGGGGTCTGCAACCTTAAACACTCCAAAGAGCCATTTTGGACCCGTTTCCCACAGAAAAGAAAACACCGGGAGCCACAAAACCTGGGTGGGTGTGGCCAACTCGACGTCACTCACTCCCACCCAGTCACATGACACACACACACCCCAGCCATGCCTACCCATGTTTTGTGGGAAACAGGTATCTCTCTGGGTGTGTGTCTCTCTGTCTCTGTCTCTCTCTGTCTCTGTCTCTCTCTCTGTCTCTCTCTCTCTGTGTGTCTCTCTCTCTCTCATATCTCTCTCTCTCTCTCTCCTCTCATCTCATCTCTCTGTCTCTCTCTCTTCTCTCGCTCTCTCTCTGTCTCTCTCCCCTCTGTCTCTCTCTCTCTGTCTCTCCTCACTCTCTCTTTCTTCTCATCTCTCTCTCTCTCTCATCTCTCTCTCTCTCTCATATCTCTCTCTCTCTCTCATCTCTCTCTCTCTCTCTCATCTCTCTGTCTCTCTCTCATATCTCTCTCTCTCTCTCTATCTCTCTCTTCTCATCTCTCTCTCTCTCTCCTCTCATCTCTCTCTCTCATATCTCTCTCTCTCTCATTCTCTCTCTCTCATCTCTCTCTCTCTCTCCTCTCATCTCTCTCTCTCTCTCATATCTCTCTCTCTCTCATCTCTCTCTCTCTCTCTCCTCTCATCTCTCTGTCTCTCTCTCTTCTCTCTCTCTCTCTCTCTCTCTCTCTCTCCCCTCTGTCTCTCTCTCTCTCTCTCTCTCCTCACTCTCTCTCTCTCTCTCCTCTCTCTCTCCTTTCTCATCTCTCTCTGTCTCACCCCACCCTCAGGTCGCCATTACCGGTTTGCCTAAACTGGTCCAAACCAGCTGAATACCACCACTGCCTGTCAGGCCACCCTGGAAACAATGAAGGATCGGCCCACAATGCCTCTGCCAGCGAAAATAGAGCTCGGGAGGGCTGCACGCGGCCCTCCTGAGCTTTGTTTTCACTGGCAGAGGGTTGCAGGAGGCCGTCACAACTGAAAACGGAGCTCGGGAGCCCGTTTTCACTGGCACAGTGCTCGGGCCGCCACAGGCGCCCCCGACACGAGTGATGTCGAGCTGGCCATGCCCACTCTGGCCCCCCAACGTCAAACACAACCCTGAGGTGGCCCTCAATATAATTGAATTGGACACCCCTGGTTTATACCATTTTTCAATGAGATTGCGCAATAAAAACAGTTGTGTAACTCCTATTCCTTTTACGATTCTCGCTTAAGTCTTCCAAAATGCAACTTGTGAATTTGTACGTCTGGATTGCTGCTCTTCAGAGCTGATCCGCTCGTAGAAATAGCAACGAAGCGACCAAAAAGGCGCGACTTTGAAGTATTTCTGATGAGCTCTGTTGTTTTTCTGACTAAAAGTGATAATTCCTTTTACGGCAAAGCTCGAGAACCTATTTTTCAACATCACCCTTTAGAGGGATATCAAAGAAACTTTATTCATTGCCTAATATTTTAATTAGATTATATTCTCAATTTAACCCATTACGCACACAAGGTATCTCTTTGATGAAGAGTCTGTTTAGCCCCAGATGTTAGAAATAATGAATACTGGGCCTTTTGGATTTAATGAGTATTTCTACCTTTCTAATCTGACTCTTTGTACCTATTATTATTATTATTATGATTTCCCCGAGCCATAGAATTGAGTTAATTGAAGGACTCTCTTACCATCATATATTAAGGGGTCTAAATTAGCATTTCCTTTTCTGATATTTTTTTTTTTAATGCAAGTGGCTTTTTCTTTTTCTTTGCTTTGATCAGAGGATTTAGTTGAAGGGGCCTCAGTCTCCTGAAAATGAGCTGATGGGCTTATTATTAGGATAAAATGCAAATATGGCCATGTGTTTGACAATGCTTAATGTCTTAATTGCTCACCTCCAAGATCAGATATGCCTTCTGTATCAACCTGGAGGGCAGGACAATCTTTACAAAGTTACAGATAAAGCAGGGGTGAAATTCAACCGGTTCAGACCGGCTCGGGCGAACCGGTAGGGGACAATTTGAATCGGTTCGCCGAACCGGTAAAAACTAGCACTGGTTGGCCCCGCCCAACGCCTGCCCGCTCGCCACTCACCCCTTCCGGCTGCTCGCTCGCCCCTTCCCACCACTCGAACCATTCAACGTTAAACGCTGCAGCGGAGAGACTCCGAACTTTTCTCCCTCCTTTCACAACGGAGCTTTACTTTACTTTTACTTTTATTTGATTTATATACCGCCCTACTCCCGAAGGACTCAGGGTGGTGAACAGCCAACAATAAAATACATACATACAAAATTTAAAAAGCAGAAATAAAATCGAATTCAATAGTTTGGCCCAGACAGATTTAAAAAAAAACAAAACCCCTGCAGCCTCTCCCTTTAAGGTAGTCCCTGAGAGGGAGGGGGTCAGGTTGGGATCATAAAGGGAGCAGCAACTCCGCTGTGAATGGAGGGAGAAAAGTTCGAATTCTGCCACAGCATTCACTATGAGCCCTTCTGGTGCATATACACCCATTTTTTTCCCTTCTGTGGGCGTGGCTTGGTGGTGGGGGTCATGTGACTGAGTGGGCGTGGTGTGAATGACATCGAGTTGGCCATGCCCACTCAGTCACAGGGGGTCCCCACCAAGCCACGCCCACAGAACCAGTATGGGAAAAAAAAAATTGAATGTTACCACTGCGATAAAGCTTTTTACTTGAAGAGGAATTTCTGTTAGAAACCTTCGGATCCAGACTGCTAAACTTTTGAGGGTAAAGTATATTACTCAAAAAAAAAAAAAATGATATCTGGATTTAAATCCTATGCATTTTAGGATTTTCCTGCCAGGATAGGTTGGGGAAAAAAGGATAATCTGGAAATATTGGAATATAAATCAGAGGGGTGGAATTTTGATTAGATGAGGGTGATCCTGACCTGGGAGTAATGGACCGAGAGACGAATTCCACAATGGAGCAGAGCCAGAAATATGAATTAAATGGATAACAGTGGATCGATCGAAAATATGACGCTCTTCGCTGCATAATTAATTAAACCTAATCTGTATTTTTCTCTCCAGACAAATCAGATGGAATTGAATCCCCTTTTGAATGTTTCTTCATGCCGGAACTTAGTATTGATGTTATCATCATTTGTAGAACTTAGGAGAATGCAAACAGGATTTTACAATATTATGATGTTCTACGTGGTGGCACAGTGGTTAGAATGCAGTACTGCAGGCTAATTCTGCCGACTGCCGGCAGTTCAATTCTCACCGGCTCAAGGTTGACTCAGCCTTCCATCTTTTCAAGGTCGGTAAAATGAGGACCCAGATAGTTAGTGTTCTGACCTAAGGTTCCTTAGAAAATATAAAGCACAATCTTAGTCCTGCAAAACCTCTTTTATTTATACGACGGTAAATTACTTTCATTTACAGTCTGCAATAAACAGTCTTTCAGAGGAAGTTTATCAACACCCACCTATCTCACATGGAACGCTGCCAGAGAGCTAATTTCCAGACGCAGGGCAAGGCCAAACTTGGCACAGAGTCACAAACAGAACTTTCAAATCTTGAATCGGCCAGATGAACGAATTGCTTCCTGCAAAAGCTCACGTCCCGTTCGCTCTTCTTTTATGTCTTATGGGAGGGGCCAATCATCTCCAAGCCTTACTCCCAAATCGACCCTGTTTTCATAATTGTTCCTGTCTTCTGGCAGCTCTGCGAATGCGCACACTGGGAACAGGCTCCCGCTATTCTTCTGCCTCACTGCTGTCAGACTCCGGAGGCTGCACATAACTATCAGATGGCCTTGGCCCCCTCTCTGCCTCTGATGCAGAGCCTTCGTCCGAGCTTTCCCCAGCCCCCAGCACTGGCACAAGTTCCTTCCCAACTTCCTCACTGTCCGACTCTGCTGCCAGCTCTGCTGGTCGCCGGTGGGCTACAACAGTTGGGGACAAAGATGCTGACTCTGTAAGCCACTTAGAGAAGTCTGTAAAGCACTGTGAAGCAGTATATAAGTGTTATTGCTACGTCTATGATGGAAGTCTTTAGAGTTTCCCTCTTTCTAAAATTGATGGGAGACTGTCGAAACATGTAGGCTGTGGAAGACACGAGGTTGAAAAAGGTTGGTAGAAGAACAAGAAAGCATGGCATGAAGAGGTGAGGTCTAACAAGACTGAGTTCATGGGAATACAAGTGGGCATAAAAGCAAAGTAGCGTCTTTCTCTTATTAATGGTTCTTAGTAATGGTTCTTAATGGTTCTTGAAGAACTCTGGACTTCAGCTCCCAGAATTCTGCTGCCCATGGAATTCTGGGAGTTGAAGTCCGTCTATCTTAAAAGTTGGTGACATTCAGAAACGTCGTTCTGTCGTAAGATAAAGGTTGCTCAGGTACAATATAAAACAGTGGTAAGGGATGTTAACTGTTTCGCAACTCGATACAGACAATATCTCTTTATTTCCGTTGGACCAGTTTTCTGAAACCAGCATGACACACTAAGCCAAAGACTGACCAAAAACACGGGGTGTAGGTTTCGTGCATGCATACCTTCAAGTCAAATTGATTCATGAACAAGTCCATTAAGTTTACTTGGTAAGGTTTTGGGGAGTTTTTTGCCTCCTCCTCCTCCTAGTAGCTGATTCAGACAGCAAGGAGGCTGGTGTGGTGCTGCGCCAGCAGCCTGTGCAGCTAGCACTCGAGTTGGACAATGAGGAGGCTGGAGAAGATATGATGCCAGAGGCGGGAATTCAGCCAGGGCCTTCAGAACCTCCAGAAGCTCCCTTAAGTGAAGAGGACGAAGAGGAGGAGCCTCTTCTCGATGCACGGGCGTGCAGAGCTGCCAAAAGGCAGGAGTGGCTCCTCAGGAGAAGGTCTTCTCGTGAGT